TCACCCCCCCCCCCCCGGGTAATATTTTCATTTCATTTATTTCTTTGCCTGCAGATGCATCCAAAATTGCACACAAAGTGGTCCTCTTTGCTACAATAAAATATAATAATCACAAATGATAAGATTTAAACTGGACCATTCTTGTTAAACCATACCTATATCTTAGCGTGCTATGATCAAATCTAATTTTAATAGCGTTTTCATCCTACTCATGTTTCTCATTCCCTCTCAATATCCAATGGGATGGGTGTATTTTAACATATAAATTTTTTGTGCCATCAAATCGCCCCAATTTATGGCGATCCTATGGAAGAGATATCTTCAAAATGTCCTATCTTCAACACCCCTGCTCAGTTCTTGTAAACTAAAATCTGTGGCTTTTTTTAGGGAGTCAATCCATCCTCTTGTAAACTAAAATCTGTGGCTTTCTTCAGGGAGTCAATTCATCTCATATTTGTTCTTCCTCTTTTCCTGCTGACTTCCACCTTTCCTATCATTATTGGCATTTCCAGAGAATCCTGCATTCTCACAATATGCCCAGGTAGAACAGCCTCCATTTCAACATTTTTGGCCCCAGAGATTGTTCAGGACCCACTTGTGCATCTGCCTGACAGTCCATGATGTCTGCAAAGCTCTCCTCCAGCACTACTTTTCAAACAAATATTTTTTTCCTGTGAGCTTTCTTTCCTGTCCAGCTTTTACATCTATACATGGTGATTTCAAATATGACAGTGTAGATCATATTGGTCTTGGTCTCCACTGACACATCTTTACATTTGATTATCTCTTCTAGTTTCTTCATTGTTGCCATTCCAGGTCCAACTATATAAAATGCATACTTTTGAAAAAGTAATCTTCACTAATCTTCTATGAAAGATTCTTTTCAGCCTTTCATGTATTCCCTACCAATTCTATTGTGATTCCTCTTATGACTAATTCTTTGTGCTCTTTGGAAACTGTATCATCTCCTGTATAATTGACAAAGAAGAGGAAAGTATTCCCAAATAATGAGCAGGATGAAATTGCTATGCCATGTCTTCAGTTAGATGTTCTATCCAGCATGCATCTGTATCTATGCCTAATTTTTCCATTTCAAGAAAATTTTTCTTACTTTTTTTTCCCATGATGAAAGAGAAAGGTGTGCAAATGATTCTTCTGTTAAATTTTATAAGTAGCTGAGCTGTGTTTCTGTTCCGTGATTTGCAATTGTATAACAGAAACACATTCATGAAGTCAAGGCAAAGGCAGAATCCAGTTCAGTTGTCTATTGCGTAGTCAAAAATGTCAGTGCCAGGCATTCTACTATTGGGGGAGGAGTTCCTTTGCAATGTATTGATGAGGTTGCCTTTCATCAACTTGAGTACAGGGAATTATCTTGGAACACTTCTGGAGAAACAATATTGATAACACTAATTCTTGAACAAGTCTTTGTTTTTCTTTCCCAAACACCAAATAAATACAGACTTGGCAGATATGTGAAAGGGTGTGTGTTGGAAGTGGTATTGTTGAAACAGTAAGATCTCAGGATTAAATCCAATTGTGAGTTCTAAATAACATAAGCACAGTTAAGTGGATTTGTATAAGGATTGACTTTCCAAACTGTGATTGATTGGGTGGATCTAATTGATTTGGAACTGACAATTGGTTTCAGGCCTAAAGGTACAATCCTATGTGTTTCTACTCAAAGCTAAGTTCAGTAGATTTAGAGGATATAGAATTGTTCTCTGCATATCACACACTGATATTTTGCAACTATCTGAAGCTAAAGATGGATTCATACTCCTCTTTGGCTGACTGCCTCATTGTTTCATCATGTGAAGACATATATATCAAATAAATGAATCTCTCTGTAGAGAAGGCTGGATTTCTTGCAATGAAATGGTCACAGTGTGAGTGACCAGGTAATTCTTATCTGGATCCTTATGCAATTATTATTCTTCTGTTTGTATATCCACAATTGCATGAGCATGCATAAAATGAGAAATTTCCCCCTCTCTGAGGAGCACAATAACCACCTGGTCATTCAAGCAAACACATATTTCTTATGTATTCGCGAAGGCTTTCACGGCTGGGATCTAATGGTTGTTGTGGGTTTTTCAGGCTCTTTGGCCATATTCTGAAGGTTGAAGGTTCTTCTTCCTAATGTTTCACCAGTCTCTGTGGCCAGCATCTTCAGAGGACAGCAGTCTGTGTTCTGGTGTAGTTTTCTTGGGAGTGGAGTATTTATGGCTGTGAGGTAGGCTTTTGTCCTTTTCAGGAGATGGGTGATTAGTGTGTCTTATTGTGGGTGTATTGTTGTGATAAGGAGGACAGTGACACATAATCTGTGCCGGCCACAGAGACTGGCGAAACATTAGGAAGAGCAACCTTCAGAACATGGCCAAAGACCCCGAAAAACCCACAACCACCACCAGATATTTCTTACATGAAAGTATTTTTTTTCCAGAGGATTTCATGGAGAGAAACACAGTAAATTTAGCAGGATTCTACTGAGCATGGAAAGAGGATGTTTTTCTTCTGGTCAGGTATAAGAATTTACAGAGCTTGGAAAAGTTATTTTACCAGACTACAGAGTCCCAGAGTCACCCGGTGAACATATTTCATGATCATGCTGCCTGGGGTATTCTGAGAGTTGTAGGCCAGAAAAGTTATTTCTTCAAACTTAGGAGAATTTGTCACTATTCTGATTGTGCAGCCCGATGTATTCTAATGTAACTATTCAAAACTCCACCCCAGTGAGTTCAATGTGTCACAAATGCATATAACAGATTTGGGGGACATGGAGCCCTTCGTATAGTTTCAGATGTTCTCTGCAAGCATTCAGTTTAGATAGCAAGATGGTCTTCTCTTCTATGTGGGCCCACACATGGGAAGGAGGCAAATGGGCAGGGTGTTAGGAAGAGAGAGGAAGTTATCGAAAGAGAGGGTGGCAGAAAGAAGGCAATATGACTTCCTGCTTAACACTGGTCCCATCCCATAGCTGGCATGTGGCCCCCAACAGATTATTCCCAAGAGGAATCAATCCTTGGAAGAAAATAATTTGGTGGAAGATTTCTCACCCCTGCTCTCTAACATTAAAGCCCAGTTGTCATCATTTAATGACTCTTTCTAACATTTTTTTAGAGAAAGCAAAGAAATGCGTGCCAACCAAGCAAAAATTTCTATGGAAAACAGTAAAGCCATAAGTCAAGATAAATCTATTAAAAACAAAGCGGAAAGAGAGAGGTAAGTACAGCTCCTCTTGGGGGAACTCTCACTAGTTGTTCAGTAAGAACCAACATATATCTATTTTATGTGGAATGATTTATATATTTAACTTCAATTTTGGCTTTCTTGTAAGCAAAGATAGGTGCTTAGTTCCACAGGTGCTCTGTGTTTTAGCATTGCTTTTTAAATGGAAAAATAATGTAGCTTTGTTGTTCTGCAGAGTATGCCAGTATGCCATCAGTTTAAAAATGTGTGGATTTTTGAAGATAAAATGTATCTGGTTCATGTCCACTTTGGATGGTGCGGATCAGGGAAATGCCGCAAAAAACCAAGCAGATTCCGGACATCTCCCTTGTTGCCATGGAGCAATCCAGTTCCTGGACTTTTTTTAATGTGCAAAGTTTTACATTATGGAACTGGGAATATTACTGTATCTTCTTTGTGACTAAGTATGTGTCTAACAGTTCAGAACTCTCACACATGTGAGAGACAAATATTACTGTTGTTGCATCTATGGTAATAGGGGTTATTCTCTAGAGCAGTGGTGTCGAACTGTGGCCCTCCAGATGTTCTTGGACTTCAACTCCCAGAAGCCTTCAC